TTAATCAATAAAGATGAAAGAAAAAGGAACCTATCCTTAAGAAATGCTTGCATATTGGTTTTTTATGCTATAAGTAATATTTATTTCAAATCAGATTAATTTAACTTTAAAATTTTCTAATTTTACTAAAATAACGTATCACAAATCTATAATTTAATTTTGAAAGATTTTTAAAACCGATAAATTTGTTTACAAATTTCTTAAAATTAAAAAAAATGGCGCTTTTAAAAAATATTAAAAATCGAGCAATTATTTGACATTCCAATTTATATAATTTCTATCTGAAATACACCAAAAGTTTTGCTCTCTGTATGCAGTCAAAAGGTGAACTTTTATTTTCAATAGTCCAGTACCGTAAGACACTTACTTGAAATTAGTTAGACGATGTGAAATAATTTGTTTGTTAAATGTCATAATCAAAATCAAAGAAGTAAAAAATTTAAATATCTGGGAAGCGTTTCAACAGAGAAAGGAAAATCCGACACTGAAATCCGAATTGGATAGCGATAGAGGCCTTCCAAAAGTTAAGCAAAGTATTAAGAAACAGGAAAATTTGGTTAGCAACAAAGAAAAGAGAGTGCAGAACTGTTAGGTGATGTCAGTCCTCCTATGTGGCAGTAAATGCAGGACAATCTCCTCAAAGATAAAGAATAGACCTGAATCAAGAGAAATGTGGTTCTACAGAAGGATGCTGAGGATACTATGGACCGAACACGTCAGTAACGATGAAGTTTTAGAGAAATTGAATGCAAAAAGGACACTTATACTTAACATTCAGAAACAGAGAGATGGAATTTCTAGGGCATATAATGAGGAGAGGAAAGAAGGCTGAGAAAATCTTATACTCACAAGGCAGATTGAAGGCAAGAGGAACAGAGAAAACAAAACATGACAAGGTTTAGAAGAAATAACAGCAAGTCAAAATTTATTAATACAAGAAGAATAAGTTGTGGAGGGCCATGATCGCCTGCTTCCTGAATAGAGACGGCCCACAGAAGAAGAAGAATAAGAGTTGAAATAATTTGTACCTTATTTAAACAAGACGATCTGAAACAAGGAAGCTTTTTCATATATTCGATCTTTCTCTTTCCATTATCGGACTTAATAAAACGAGATATCCATTATCTAATAGCGGGCCGTTTTTCTATTAATACGACAAAAGACTTTGATCGCCACAAACGAATATGGTTACATTGACTATGTCAGATGACACAAAGTGTGACACAGAAACCCAAAGGTGAATACGACACTCATAAGCAGATCATATATATATATATATATATATATATATATATATATATATATATATATATATGTATGTATGTATGTATATATCCAAGTATAGGATTGGTGTATACGGAATAAATTCCAATAACCAACAAATACTATTCTTAAAAGAGTGCTCAATACAGTAGAGCAAATGTAATCATTTATTCGAAAATTATAACATAAAAATGTTATAATATCACTACAAAAATAGCCATTTTGTTTCAACATTTCTAGTGTTTTATCAAGTGATGCTGTTGAATGAAATCTACATTCAACACCATCATTTTGATAAGACACCAGAAATGTTGAAACAAAATGGTTATTTTTGTAGTGTTTTTATAACATTTTTATGTTGTAATTTTTCAATAAATGATTATATATATGTATATATATATATATATATATATATATATATATATATATATATATATATATATATAATAAATTGCAATTACTACAACCTCTTCCCATTATATATACTCCCGTCGAATTCGACGTATGAGGGTCAAGCAGATCGGTTCCCAGGAAACCGACAGCCCGACAACAGCACATGAGATTTGATTATAGTGGTGAAAGTTTTGTGCAGGACCATCCACACTTTTTGAAGGGCCGAATACAGAGACTTGGTGCACTACGTGCCACAAGGTTCCCAAACGACCCTCCGCAGGTTTTGAATTCAGAGTTGTCCTTCCCCTAGACTAGTTGCCATCCAAGGCTATAGAACCCAGTCTGTTCTGTTATTTACCCATAGCTGGAGGGAGAAGAGGAGGATTCACACCTTTCCATTACATTCACTTACGTGCTAATTCCTCAATCCTCTGATTCCTCAATCCAAGCCGCTATCCATTGCACCATCGTGCCTCCTGTGTGTATATATGTGCCTCGTATGTATATATATCGACCTCTTCCCTTTATATATATATATATATATATATATATATATATATATGAGAGAGAAGAAACTGAGTGAGTAGAAATTCACTGTTCGTAGCATTTACTTTTTAAAAAAGTGCTCAATACAAAGTAGAGCAATATATTATTATTATATTTTTGTTGTAAAAGATTACAATAAAAACATGTTGAAATCACTACAAAAAGCTTTCATGTTTCAATACTCTGGTTGTACTTCTTCAGGCAATGGTGATTAAATGACTTTTAAGAAAATTTAAAAGCAAAGTTTCTGAAAGTTAAAGCGGGTGGGGGAAAACATAAGGTCCGAATTAAAAATAGACTTGTGGGTATGTCTTGATTAACCAATTAAATGTCAGATCTACGTCAAATAGAAAAGGTCAGAAGGATGTGGGTGGGTGAGTTATTTTTTCATGTCACGATAAACCGGGACATAGACATGTCATCATTGACGATTGCGGAAAATATGACAGCGACAAAAATATCGTGATTGCAGACAAATATGACATGTTCAATTTCCTGAAGGGGGAAGTGGCTTAATCAGACGTAAAGTTAGTAGAAAAAATTTTTAAAAAAGTTTTTTTTTTTTGTATATTCAGGAAGCTTCTTAATGGGACCTGAAGATGAAATTAAAAATGTCGAACATCTATATACTATATTAATAATACTAACTGGACAGTAATATATAGCAATATTTAAGATTTATAAACAAAATAATTTATAAGGTAGAGGGTGGACCATTATATACTGAAGGCCTGAATGACCTTTTTCCTCTCACCATTGCTCAGTTGGGAAGACAAAGGTTGTGACACAAAACAATTTTAGCCTGTTCTCTAACTGAATAACTCAAAGGTTTTTTTCAGTGATTCTTACTATAAATGCTATCAAGATCGAACGACTTATCTAAAACCCAGGAAAAAAGAAACACAATTAGTTAAGTGTTCTTTTTTTTTAGTGGCCGAGTGGTTAGAACGTTCGTTTTCTGACCACGACACCAAGGTTCGAATCCCACCAGGGCTGATTTCATCCTGATGTTATCGGTCTGAAGGGGTGATCCCATCGTGCGGCACCTTTAGGTTGACCCAAGCCTTGTGAGTGAAATTGGGTAGATGGAATCCTTGGGGACAGTCGATAGCTGCGCTGGCACAAAGTCACAAGTCATCGTGACCGAGGGTTCCAATGTGCTGGCTTTGTTCTGATTGTTGATCACGCTAGATAACATACTCTCTCCCAGCACGTCCGCACAGCATTGTTGCAGGATAAAGCACAAGTTGGCTTTGTGGGTGTTGAACAAACACAAATGTGCCTGAGCGAACGTCTGCAATAGGGATTGGCTAGCCATCCTAATAGATGGGTATTCTTGAATACGAGTCGCCAGCTATTATATATAGCTATATATATATATATATATATATATATATATATATATATATATATATATATGTTAAGTAATTTTTTATGTTTATAAGTTCTTTTATAGATACAAATATTTAAGTAAATGTTCTGTTTATAATAAACAGTAAAAATAACATTTACCGGTCTTAATGTCCGAGAAATTTTAATAGAAAATATGCGTCCTCCGACATGCTAAATGTTATTAACACTGTTTATTATAAACAGCATTTATTTAAATATTTGTATCTATAAAAAAAGAACGCATAAACATAAAAATGTCTTAAAATAATTGTCGTACTTTGTCCATTTCATAATATATATATATATATATATATATATATATATATATATATATATATATATATATAATTTATTCGAAATTATAACATAAATATGTTATAAAATCACTACAAAATAGCCATTTTGTTTCAAACTTTTTTTCTGGTGTGTGAAAAAACTGCAGAAACGTTGAAATAAAATGGCTATTTTTGTAGTGATTTTATAACATATTTATGTTATAATTTTCGAATAAATTATATTTGCCCTACTCTGTATTGAGCATTCTTTTAAGAATAGTAATTGTTGGTTATTGGAATTTATTCCGTATACACCAATCCTATCCAATCCTATACTTGGATACACACACACACACACACACACACACACACACACACACACACACACACACACATATATATATATATATATATATATATATATATATATATTGAACAATAAAAAATATTAAAAAATTAAAATCTTCAGACACACTGGGTTGTAGATTAATATTCTTTCGTTTTTATTATTATTATGTTATGATTTTAGCTGTGTCTTTAAAACCCAGTAATTTTAAAAGTTACTCGAAAATTCGCTTGGGGATGAAATGGAACTAATGTTTTTAATTTAATTACAAAATTAAATTCGTAGCTTTTAGCTTCCATTTTTGAAACATGTAGCGCAAAAAACCATATTTTAAATAAATCAATTTATAATATATATATATATATATATATATATATATATATATATATATATATATATATATATCGGAATAATAACGAGAAAATCAATGAAAATACATAAAAACGTGATGTCTTCGTTTCAAAAAGAATGTTATATACAAAAACTGAAGAAAACAAAAATCGTCGACTACAGTTTACATCAAAAGTTAAACGACACAAAGACGTTGAAGCTTTAAATGTTTAAATGTCTTTAAGGCCAATCAATTTTATACTCTTACCCTGTCCCTGTCAGATTTTATACTCTTACCCTGTCCCTGTCAGATTTTATACTCTTACCCTGTCCCTGTCAGATTATTTATCACGTTTATGGTTATCAAAACCCAGCCTTTTTAATAGGTTGGATTCGACTATATTCATGCTTTAATGTTTGTAATTAGTTGTATAAATTGCTAATGTCTTTCTTTCAGCTTAAAAACATCGTTGCCTGTAAGATCACCGCAGTTAAGCAACGTCGAGCCTGGCCAGTACTTAGATGTGTGACCGCTTCGGAAAATCAGGTTCTGTATGCTTGGATTTGCGGTTGGTGTGATAGATAATTGCTAGAAATTGTTAATCGGAGAACAGAGTTCAAATTCCAGTTGGGTTCGTTAGATTTATTTGCACGCAAATACCTCTTCTACTTCCAGTTAAGGATTAATTAGTACGAATCATTAAACTATTATTATCTCCAAAAATAAATTCTTATAATCTAAAAATATTTTCTGGCTTTAAATAACCTGCAATGGATCGATAAGCCGTAGAAAATAATCAGTTAATCGATATAATTTTTTTTTCAAATAATATGCGTTCAACTTATTTGAAATAACGAAAACTAAATTTTTAAAATATTTTTTTAAACAGATATGGAAACATGTTTTAAAAATCAATAAATCAAGCCAAAATTACAGGAAATTTCAGTTCCAATATAAACGTTTCGTTATGAATATTAAAAAAGAAAGAAAATACACAAAATAAGCATTTTCAGATTTAAAAAGGAAAGAATTGGGTGAAATTAAATTTAATGTGGCATATTACAAAATTCAGGAAACGCTTATGAAATGCTGCTGTTTTTCTAAATAATGTTTCCAAAGTATAATTGAAATAAATACATTTCTAATAAATACAGGCTTTACTTAATGTTTTATATGTGTTTATTTTAACTGAAAAAAGAAAAACAAAAACAAAAAAAACGAGCAAAACCAAAAAATACACATTGGTTTCTGTATACGATTATTCTGCCTTGAGTTACTCTCAAGTCACTTGATTCATTTCTATTGAAGAGTCTCTTTAATGTTTTTAATTCCAAAGTGATCTACTTGTTGATTCTGTAGATGGAATGGCAACAAAGTTGTTTTCATTGATCTGAAATTAATACAAGCGCAACAAATAGAAGATGGCCAATAATTCATTTTATAAATGTTTTACACTTCAATTTCATTTTCTTTTCTTTTGTTCAAAGGAAGAGGAAAAAATACGACGATTCATTTTCTGTCCTATTTGGATATATCTTACGACTGCTATCATGAAATTTCATTCCGATCTTATACGGCTTGCATTTACGTCACAAACGCGCTTTTCCTCCTCCCACTCCTCCTGCCCGCCTCTTCCCACTCCTTCTCAAACAAGCGAATTCGAATGAACCGTATCTGGCTTATCGAAAAAACGAATTCAAAACCTTTTACATTTCTATGAGCGAAAAAAACAAAGAAAAAAAGAAGGCGGGAAATACAATATTTTCTATTTCTTTCTCATAGGGTTGATAGTGCAAAGCAGCAAAAAGGCGGGTGGGGTCGGGATAAACGCGATCTGCTGACGTCACGCATGTATGAACGTCACAGGTTTCGATGATTTTTATTTTGATTTCTTAATTGTATTGCTTTTCGATCAAATGATAATATTTATAGATAATCCAACATGCTCGAGTCCGATCTCTCTCACTCTCTCTCTCTCTCTCTCTCTCTCTCTCTCTCTCTCTCTCTCTCTATCTATCTATCTATCTGTCTGTGTATATATATATATATATATATATATATATATATATATATATATATATATATATATATATATATATATATATATATATATATATATAGATAGATAGATAGATAGATAGATAGAGACTTGATTGAGGAATCGGAGAGCCGAGTTCAAATTCCAGTCGAATCCATTACATTCACTTACGTGCTAATACCCATGGGGAAGGTGTGAATCCTCCCCTCCCTCCAGCAATGGGTAAATAGCAGAACAGGCCGGGTTCTATAGCCTTGAATGGCAACTGGTCTAGGAGAAGGACAACTCTGAATTCAAAACCTGCGGAGGGTCGTTTGGGGATCTTGTGGCACTTAGTGCACCAGGTCTCTGAATTCGGCCATTCAAAAAGTGTGGATGGTCCTGCACGAAACCTTCACCACTATAATCAATTCTCATGTGCTGTTACGGGCTGTTGGTTCGCTGAGAACTGATCTGCTTGACCCTTATACGTCGAATTCGATGGGAGAGTTGAGTTATATATATATATATATATATATATATATATATATATATATATATATATATATATATATATATACGGGTTGATGCAAAGGTCGCACACCATAGGGATAAATTATTAAAGTCAGCAGTAAATAAATCAGTGTTAATGATGAAAAATTATTTATTTCTCTATTGGATCATGTTATTTAAGTCATGGCAGTTCTGTGTGAAAAATAATATCGCCCAAATATCCCCCCCCCCATTCGATGGTCAAAATTTTTGATGACCTCTCTGCATACTAAATTAATTAATTCATAATTATTACACATGTAAATTTTATTTACTACTTATTGTTATATATACTGTTCAAAATGCCCTTCTCCTTTTTCAAAAAGCACATTTCAATTCTGTGCCTGCAGGATTCGTTAACACTTGGCGGGGGGAGGTCCTCTGTTATTTTACTGCATTCGTATTTAATTATTGTACACGCGCGTGCGTGTGCGCGTGCGTGCACGTGTATGTAGTAACGTAGTTGAGTACCTAAATTGGTAAAAGAAAACAAGTCGAAATACATATATATATATACATATATATATGTGTGTGTGTGTGTGTGTGTGTGTGTGTGTGTGTGTGTGTGTGTGTGTGTGTGTGTGTGTGTGTGTGTGTGTGTGTGAGTAAATATAGATAGACATGAACATAGGTATAGAGATTTCCATTAAAACATTTATAAAGTGTTTAATGAAAATCTCGGGATAATTTTTTTAATCGATTTCACCTGAAGCAAGGGAGTAAAGCCACTAAGACACAAGGGGCTACTATGCGTGGAAGAATTAGAAATAGAAACGTTACTAATGAGAGGGAACAAAAAGAGTAATCATCAGAACAGTAGATAGCGATGCACTTTGCATTTCAATATTTGAAGATTAAAGTTGGTTGGAAAGCATGGAGACTGTAGGGAGTTCCACAAGTGAGAAGTGTGAGAAAAGAAACTGTTAGCATAGAACTTAAGGTTACAACTAGCCAGCTCAATTTTAAAATGATAAGATGTCGACACCAGTCTAGGACTGCACTTAAGTTCATAAAGTTTCGGTACCATAGCGAAGAGATCATCCAAACAGTTATCATGAAAGTCTTTATAGAAAAACCACAATAAGGTAACCTTATGGCGGTGGGAAAGTGACTGAAGCCAATTTACCAGATCAGGACCGATAATATTGCTAATTCTTCTTTGGATTTTATCAAGGAGATCAAGGTAAATAGTAAGAGCACCGGGCCATATGGGACAACAGTATTCTATGCCTGAACGTATAGATATGGAAGATAGATTCTGGAGAGAAAAACTGTCACACACGACACAGTGAAGCAACTTTCTTATCAGCTGACATAGCAATGGATGCAATATAGCCTTTCCACTTCATGTCAGCTGAGAATTTTAGCCCAAGAAGGCGCAACAGATTATTTTCTTGGAGGTTAGCATCAACCATGTTGGTGGAAGGCAGGGAGGGATCTCTCAAATGATTAATGGAGAGAAGTTTCGTTTTTAAAGGCATTAAAATTAACAAGCCATCTTTTTCCCCAGTTAACTGCAGACTTGAGGTCGTTTTGGACATCGCCTGCCATTTAACACGTTATCTATCTATCTATCTATCTATCTATCTATCTATCTATCTATCTATCTATCTATCTATCTATCTAACATTTCTTTATATCTAACACAGTCTATTCAAAAGGTACGTGAAAATTTCACGCTTTCCCTACTTGAAATTTCTGATTAATCTTTATTAGTTGAATGATTTAATAAAGCTCATGGCGTGTTTTGTGTCAATAAAATATCCATAGAAATTTCCCTATTGCATCGTTAAATATTTGAACTTAACAACAAAATATTACAATAACAATACTAAATATGAAAGCTGGTCATTATTTTAAGAAGTAAGGGGGTACAAATAAAAAAAATTGAAACTGACAATTTTTCTCATTTCACTGAAATAATGTGAAACACTTGTATCTTCTCTTTTCTTTCATTTTCTCACTGAAGTAGCGTCTTTAATTTCTTTTCTATTCTCACGCGATCAAAACAGAATAGTTTATTATTTATGAGATATTAGCAGGAGGCATTAAACATTTCTTTCTTTCACTGAAACCAAGTAGAGTTTCTGATATGCCTTGTCTTTAGACGCGATCAAAACAGAATAGTCTAGTATTTATGAGGTACTGACAAGGCGTAACGGTCGTGCGAATTAACCAAGGGCGGACATGTTCTGACTTTACTTTGTGTAGTATGAGTTCCGCACAAGTCTCACTCAGAGACTTCCATAGAAGTTGAGGTGACATACAATCAAAGAGAAAAAAGTAATGTACTTGGGATGTGAAGAAATCTGCACAAAGGCATGAGAAGTACCCGCAAGTATAACTTTTTGCAATTCGCATAGTTTAGGGCTGCCAGGAATTTGTTCTTTGTTTGCTCAATTTGATATCAAATCCCCAAAGACCCAAATAACAACAGACAATGGTGTCTTCAGATGCCGCGCAAGTCTCTACCGATTTCCAGATCGACGAGGCTTTTGCTGTTTACTTTGTTTCACAAACGTTTACAAACATATCTTTGTCGGCTGCTTTTGCTACTTTTAGCAGTAGATCATTAATATTAATATTATTATTATTATTGTTGTTGTTGCTATTATTATTATCCTCATGTTATTATTATTATTATTATTATTATTATTATTATTATTATGTTGATGTTGTAAATTGACGTCGCCAACGGATATGAATGCAGTTCCAGAACGTCAAGTTTAATTTTGAAACTTTTAGAATTTTTGTTTGAAAGCTTTTTTAGAGATGCACAAATCTAAAAAAAAAATTTACAAGTTTATTTTATCTTTTTCATTTCTTTGTTTTGGCCGAAAAAAATAGTTTTAATCTAAAATTGACTGCTGGCGATCTTCAGTGACTTTGCATATCAGCACCACCTATTCTTTCATCTTTTTTCTACGCAAATTAACTACACATACCAATTTACATTCAAGAATTGTAATTGTTTGATGCACTACAAC